AGGAGGTGATAATTCCTTAGGAGACTTTTAAGTGATTAAAAGTGGCACAAAGGATTGTTTATACGAGGTACGTACATGTCTACTTCGTTGTAAGTAGTATCATGTTTAGGTACCAAAGAAAAGAATTTAGTTTCATGATTAGAGAACACTTGGATGAAAATTGTTTGGTTATATATTAATTAATTCATGTATTTATGTTTATGAGGCATGTTTTCGTGAATTAGTTATGCTTGTATGGAATTATGGATGCAAGTATGTTGAATTATATTGGATTAATTGTTTGTATGGAATGTTGATACAAACATATTTTATTGGATTGGTTTGTTAACCACATTTGAATTATTAAAGGATTGGAATTGAATGGTTTAAGTGGAATGAATTTATTAATTATTCCACAAGGTTGTTATTTATTTTATTTATTACTCAATCATGACTTGTTAGTATGTTGAGTAAAGGTGGATTAAGCCGAAATGGCTAGGTGGGTTGACTATGTTCAACAATTTTGGATAATTTGGAAGTTTAATGGAATTAAAGGTCAATTTGTGATGTGATCACCATTGTCCTAAATAAGATTAAAAGTGAATTGATGTATGATTGTTATGTATGGTCTACTTGAATGATTCGGATATAAATTAAAATTGTAATCACGTAAAGTAAAACATGGATGAGCAATAAAACTCTAGAACACTTCTAGAGTATTGACAATTATGGGTTGGGGTACACGGTGGTAGCCCGTGGCTTTTCGAGGCTTGTTTGATCAACATGTCCTCTTCTCTTTTGGTATTTACATTTTATTTTATAATGAAAGTTAGATGGGATCCTAGAGTAACTTTGTGAGAATGGAGTCGCGACCATTCTTGCATCGCGCTAAACTTTTATTTTAAATGGTCATTTGGGACCAAAATGATTTGGTGGATTGGACAACCTCGTCTATTGCTTACTCCAAACTAAATTAATTAAATTAAATATAAAGAGTCAAGTGTTTGGAATTGATTAGCAAGTATGTTGAGTCGATTGAATTGTTTAAGTGTGGAGTCTTGATTAATGAATTCGTGTTGTATGTTTATTTACTTTAATTAGTTGAGCATGCTAGGTTTGGTACGTTGTAGCTTGTATGTACTCAGCTTTGCTAATTGCGTGCTTTTGTGTGTTTTCTTTTGGTCATGGCCTTCGCCTTTCAATGACCCTGTGATGATCCAATTATTACACTTGTATTATTGGGGAGCAGTATTGCACAGGTTAGCTTGATGATGTGAAGTTCGGGGATTTGACATACGCATTGTCAAGGGATTGGTGTGATTGAGAGTATTTGTTCTTTGTGTTGAACTTATTTATGTTTTACTATTTTAATTTTGTTTATGGATTTTTGATTATTGGTTGGTTTTAAATAAGGGCCTTTATGGTTCCAATTTGTAAGCTTTGACTTATTGATTTGAGTAGAGGGAGTTTATTAAAGTCTTATAAGACGAGGTTAAGGTTTTGGGGTGCTTTATGCACTCAAGGTGTTTATACACCGAGGTAGTTAAAGGAATCAATAATAAATGTTGCTTGTCACTAATAAATCAAGAATTAAATTGGAAGTTTGCTTTACTTGATTTAATTGATATTGAATTGATTGTATTGTTTTGCAAATGAGTCATCACCAAATCTAAACTTATAAATCACGTAAAGTGCAAGATGAATGAGCAATAAACTCTGGATTTGTGCACATCTAGAGTAATGACAGTCAGGGGTTGGGGTACACGGGGTATTAGCCGTGCACTTTTCTCGAGGTCGTCTGATCTACGAGTCTCTTATTCCAAATACTTTTCAAAACTAGGAGTTAGATGAGATCTCATACTAGCTACGGTCGCGGAGTCACGCCCGTGGTCGTTGGATGTTTTGTTGATGTTTCCGAAAGGAGGCATGGGTTTTTCTTTTATTGATGTTTCAAATGGAGCATGGGTTGGACAACCTTGTCTATTGCTTAATCCAATGAATAAAATGAAATGATTTAATTACTATTAACTAGCTAGTGAAGTCTTAGTAAAACTGACAGTAGTGTCGTGTGTTGAGTCTATAATTTAATTGTGTGCGATGATCGAATGTTAGTAGCATGCTAGGGATTTCTTATTATATTTCGCGTCTGTATGTACTCAGCTTTGCTAATTGCGTGCTTTGTGTGTCTTTCTTTGGTCATGGCCTTCGCCTTTCAATGACCCTGTGACGATCCAAATTTTACACTTGTAATATTGTGGAGCAGATTAACCACAGGTTCTTACACATGCAGCATTCGTATTTAGGTGGTGGGATCTTGAGTGGAGTGTTGGTTGCTTTTCTCATTTTAATTACTATTTACTTTTGAAGTTACTTAAACTCGATTTCATTTTTATACTACTTCTATTGGTTTGAGTTTTGAATAAGGGCCTTAATGGTTCCAAGTTGTAATACTTAATTTGGTTTTATTCGTTGGTTTTGAAACTTATTTATAACAGATCTAGTTTTTTCGCTGCTAATTTTGGATATAGCCTTAACATTTGAGCACATGGCGGTAGCACGCCATTAATTCTCTTGAATATTGTTCAGGGTATTCACAAGTTTTAAAGAGAGAATTATTGGGGTGTTACAAGTACGTTCTTAAATTCATCCGCACTATGCTCCTCATCCAGCACATTATCCATCTCAACATAAACAAAATGCTCCACGCCATCCAGAGCTGCCTCAAAACCCGAAGGATTACTCGTCGCAAACAGTGAGCTAAAGTAATCAGCAACAATGGACTATATACGGTGTTCCCCTACTTGTCATTCTTCCTGTGAGTCAAAGAGCCCGTCAGTACGATTCTTCTTATGCCTTTGACTTGCTTTCCGATGAAAATAAGCCGTATTTTTGTCCCTATCACGCATTTTATTTGCCCGGGATCTAGCATACCAATACGACTCTTCTAAGTTTCGAAGTTCATTAATTTCCCTGGCAATTTGTTCACATCTTGCTAGCATTGAAGCATCTACATGAGCAGCCTGCACCTCTTGTAATTCCTCCTCCTTCGATTTGATTTTTTTCTTCACCTCACTGAATTAAGTAGCAACCCATTTATTCAAGTACTTAGCGCATAAAGCAATATGAGCGTGAGGGTCTCGTCCCTCTCCATCACTCCAAGCCTTCGTAACAACCTCACTACAATCATCTCTAGACAGCCACATTGCCTCAAATTGGAACAACTTTTTTTCCTTCTACCCCTTTCAAAGTAGTTAATCGTATCAAGTAAAATCGGAGTATGGTAAGACGATACCCGAGCCAAGTGTTGGACCTAGTAATTCGGGTGTAGACTACACCAATTGTCATCACCAAGGAACCTACCCAACCTTTCTCTCACCACCGTCTCAACATAGTTTCCTCTTTGCCGCATATAAATGCAACCCTTATATCAGCTCACAAAAATCAATGGCATCACAAAACGCATCCATTAGACTCTCTCGTCTAATCGCACCACTATCCTTTTCCATCATACTCACAATCTCATTAAAGTCCCAAACATAACACATGGAACATTACTTAATTGTTTCAAATTCTTCATCAAGTCCCAAGTTTTATGCTTGTTTTCCGATTCCGGCCAACCATAAATACCAATAGCACACCAAATTGGGATCCCCTCACCATCACAAATATTAGCAGCAAAATGATGGTCAGAATACGACACCACATTCACATTAATATTATGCCAAAAAAAACAAGTACCACCCGACCTACCATTACTACTAAGACATAAACCATTTTCAAAACCACAACGCGTTTTTATTCTCTCCATAACACTACTATCAGATTTTGGCTCCATTAAAAACACAATATTTTCTCTCCAACACAAATCCCGGAAAGTCCTTTCCGTCGTCGAGTTGCTAATCCCGAAAACGTTCCAACTTAACATTTTCATTTTTTTTTCTTTTGAGGAGGAAGAATCACGAGCAGTAACACAAGAATTCACAAGGAAAATTAATATTCCATTGACAAAGGCACAAATAGTAATGAAGGCAACAAAAAAGAATTGATCCTCATGCACAAAAATACGAAATTGCGACCCATAGCTTGGAGACTCACAATTATTAGAATAAAACAAACAAAACATCAAGGAAATAGAAGTAACTTACATTCCATGGGCAAAAACACGATAAATAACGAAGAAAGCAGTAGGAATTGACCTTAATACCAACAGAAATCACGAACTCGCGAACCCTAGACGAGGGACTCACGAGAACCCTACTGTGAGGGACTTTGGTTATTTACGGAGGTAGTATTTAATACACGTGGACATTCTATTAGTATAGATATTCTATTTTTTTTAAATAGGTTTTGTTTCTAAAACTATAACAAAAACAAAAAATAAAAATAAAACACAGGCAAATTATAGTAATGTCAAACAGATCATAAAGAATAAGAATAGACTTATCCTATCTAGAGGTGATCAACTCTAGCTCAGCCCATTAACCTGGCCCGGGAATAGGACATATTTGAGCAAACCTAAAAAGTAAAAACGTAATTTTAGGGTTCGTTTGGCATCGCTGTGTTTTCTGTTTTTTGATTTTTTGGTTTTTAAAAGTATATGATATATGTCACATAATGAATAAAAAATTATTTAAACTTATTAAAATGATGATAATTTTGAAAACTGACAACAGAAAAGTGAAAACACCTTTTTCTTGTTTTCTGTTTGGTTTTTAGTTTTATAAAAGACAAATGATGCCAAACAAACTCTTAGAAACTACCTCCATTACATATTATTTGCAACGATGTGACATAAAGTAGAGAGGAAAAATGTCTAATCGTTGCAAATGATATGTAAAAAAAAAAAAAAAAAAAAAAAAAAAAAACTGAAATCAACCCGAAAAGCCCGCTACTTTTTTTACAAATTTGGACACGACATACTGTATGATATTTAAGGTTCGATCTGGCCCGAATTTGCAAATTAGTCTTATTGAAATGGGCCTACAATTTAAAAAATTAATGGGCTCGTAAAAGAGTAAACAAATGCAGGTCAATAAGTTAGGGTTTCTTCATTTCAATTGCGCCCCTCTTAAAACCCTCACAATACCTCCAAACGCACTCTCTCTTTCTCTCTCCTCTTTTTTCCTGCTCGGAGGCGCTCTCGACGATCTCTTTCTTCTCGTCACGGTACCATTTTTCTTCATTTTACTCTAACAAACATTCAATTTGTTCTTCTGATTATGCTCTTGAAATTTCTCATGAATAATGTGATAGAATGAAATGATGTTATTTATTTTTCTTATGTAATTTCTATTGAAATGCTTAATTTTTATGGTTTGCATAAAATAGATAAACCATGTGAATTTGTTGTTTTTTTTACCCATTGTTGTTAATTTGATGGTTTATTTTGGTAATTTGAAGTATAACGTGATGTTTAGGAGAATATGGGATGTTTGGTAGATCTTATAAATTGGTTGAAATGATTAGTTGATTCTGATAAATACTAAATCTTTGAATTTGACATATAGATTAGGGTTTAATTTACCAACTGGAGAAACTTGAATTTTGTTGAACGTTGAAATTTAGGTGAGGAGATGGATATTTGTAGGATTAGGGCTTAGCTTTCATGGGGTTGGGTTATATCTCATTATACTAGTATAATGGAAATGTGGTATTGGGTTAGAGTGATATCGGGGCGTGTATTAAGCAGACTGAATCGCTTTCCGTTGACCATTGTATGATGGGATTAGTAATAAGATAATTTTCTTGATTAATGAAATGGAATGAGGGAATACAGAATAATGAGAGCGTGCAAATCAGAACATAGTGGGTGTTCCGAATAGCATAGATTGATCGAAATCGTATATATAGTATGGAGTTAGGTTAAGTTTGATCGATAATGTACATATAGTATGGAGTTAGGAATTAGGATTAAGTTTGATCGATAACTTATGTATAATATGGAGTTAGGATAAGTAACATATGCTGTTGCTTATTGAATTGAACTGGAAGCTAACATGCTTACTCTGCTATTGCAGCCGTATTGAGCAGCTATGGTGAGGGTCAGTGTGCTAAATGATGCTCTCAAGACAATGTATAATGCTGAGAAACGGGGGAAACGTCAGGTCCTCATCCGGCCCTCATCCAAAGTGATCATTAAGTTTCTTATCGTTATGCAAAAGCATGGTATGTTGTCTCCAATCTCTCTTGTGAGGTCAACCTTGCTTGTGATTTTTCCAGCTGTGTCTAATGGTGACTGTCTGAATTTGTTTCAGGTTACATTGGTGAGTTCGAATATGTTGATGACCACAGATCTGGAAAGATTGTTGTTGAGTTGAATGGAAGGCTGAACAAGTGTGGTGTCATTAGTCCTCGTTTTGATGTTGGTGTCAAGGAGATTGAGTCATGGACTGCTAGACTTCTTCCTTCAAGACAGGTTAGCTAATGAATCTACTTGAACAGTGTACATTATTGTATTGAGGCTTGCCTGTGTTCCAAGACACAATTAAGCATATCGCTGGGGTGTTTTTGGGAACCGTAAGTTAATAAAGAGGCTTTTTTTTTGGTAATATGTCTAAGCCTGCCTGTCATATAACTTTCGAAATGGGTGCACTCATTATAATTGCGTGTTTTGACTGTTGTGTTACCTTTGTGATCTTGTCCTATGTACATTGTTTGTCCATCGTTTCATCCTCATTGAGGAATGATATATTACCTATATACCTGTGTGTTAAATGTTTGCTCTGTTTTAGAGTGCGATAATCATTTCTAATAAAATGGGTTTATTTCAGTTTGGATACATTGTGTTGACTACATCTGCTGGTATAATGGATCATGAAGAGGCAAGAAGAAAGAATGTTGGAGGCAAAGTGCTTGGTTTCTTCTATTAGGAGTAATCTTTGTCGTAATGCTGCGATGTTTTAAGTTATAGATATGAGCTGTTTCTTAGTGTATTGTGAAACATAGTTACCAGGGCTCAGGTTTGATTTTAATTTGGGAGAGCTTTTAAGTGTTTTTGATATTAATGTAGGCACTATTCTCAAATTTTGCTATTATGCCTTCTTTTTGCGGTTGGATTTGAACCTTTTCTATACTCTCCCAAATCTTTTGGAATTTGCGAGTAATTTGAGAAGCACAATTTTCCTTCTAGGAATGGGAGTGAAACTGTCGTGAAAGATATCTTAATTTAAATCGAATCTGTCTATTTCAGATTCTCAGTTCCTTCTAGGAATGGGAGTGAAACTCTGTCCTAAAAGATATCTTCATTTAAATATAGTCCGTCTATTTCAGATTCTCAGGGTGTAATGTGTCTGTGTTAGTAATGTTATGCATCCATATCTCATTATGTGGAACTTGATCAACTTGTATCATGGTATTATAAGTGGAGACAAATTTTATCAACATGCTTTTGGTTTTTCTTAGCTTTTGATGGACAATGACCTAGCCTAGCCTAGTAAGAAATGCTGAGATAATGTGTATGATGGAATGATGAAAATGACTTGTCTTTAAATTTATAATTGGCCAAATTGAGTAAATTTAGACTTAGGTGTATTAGCTTCTATCCTCTTTAGCTTAGAAAAGGACTATAAAATCTATTATTGATTATTGAACATTCTTATGGTTCCAGTTCGACCCATCCTACCTTCTTCATCAACAAACACCATCATTATCGCTTGGGAGATACCACCCACCATTTCTTCCAAACTCAACTTTCTCTGGCTCAAAATATAAACACTGACCAAATTAGGTTTCATAGCTGAATCTGCTTGACAAGGGCATCCTTCTTGAGATTGAAGAAGACGTGAAAAACATTCAGATGGTGACGACATTATGGTAATTAACAATGGATTGATCATATTGTTGCCCACATTCTCTTCTCAACAATTTTGAAAACTAGAGTATTCAACACAACTATTGTGAGGCAATTAGAAAAGTTGAGTAAATAATTGTTGGTCATTTACTTGGTGATAGTTTGGACATAGTATTTTGCTACGGAGTACAACTCTAGTTTGTTGCCTACTTTAGTTTCCAATGCTTTAAGATTTTCACTCATGAAGAGAGTTTGCATTAGGAGTTTCACTCATGAGGAGGGTCTCCTAGACTCATAATGTCTTTTTTTCCCACTTAGTTTTAAATAATTTTTTTAAAAAAAATTTGAGAGAACATATACAACTATACAAGTGTGTATCCAGTATCCACCACCTACACTTATTTAATAAATTTTAAGTGACTACCCATAATTATTGGCGATTCAAGCGCTGCCTTAACATTGTTTTTTTAAAAATATTTAAACAGAAAATTTCTGTTAAATTAAAAAAAAAATTATAAAAATAATCTCAACTTTCACCCGTTCGCTCAAAATAATCCCAATTTTGAATTATATTTTTAAATAATCCTAACTTTATGGGTCATTCATTCAAAATAGTCTCAATCGATCACTTAACTTGTTATGACAGGTTTAGGTGACACGTATCACCACGTGATTCATAGCAAAATAAAAAAAATTCATAAAAAACTAAAAATAAATAAAAATAATAAAAATATCAGCACCAATCCCAGCCGCCCAACCCACCACCCACGACCCTGTCTTCATCCCGCCAACCCTGCCGCACCCTAATCCCCCTCCCCACGCCGGCGTCTCCCTTCTGCCTAAACCACTACCACTAAACACCCTGAAATCTAAAAATAAACCAATTCCCCCACCGTATAAACCCCCAGCCGTCATCTCCGACCCAAATCAACCCACTACTTGCAGCCTTTGCTCGCTTCCCCTGCTCCCGAAACTCACCAACAACAGCCCCACATCAACCTACAGCCGCCCAAAACCACCGGCAGCCCAGCAACACAGCAATTGCGCGCCCAAGTCACCACCACAAGAAGTGCCAACCATCATAACTTCGCACAACAACAGCACCTATCCGCACCAAATTGCTCCAATTTACCATCAATTATATCAATTTGGCAATTAAATACAACAATTCCGGCCTCCAATCGAAGCAACAACTTCGAATTTTACTCCAATTTGAATACCCAAACGGTGCACCGTGCTCTCGAGACCCGTAGTAACGAAACCACAACAAGTGCTGTTTTGCTACTATTGCCGGCGCCGGATCGGGGGGTTGGGGGGGTGTTTCGGGCACCGATGGGGTGGGGGTGGGGGCGGGGGTACTGGGTTGTGCCTTAGGGAGGGGAGCTGCCGGAATGGTAGTGGTAGCCAGTCATGTTGCGTGGGAATTGAATGTGGTATTTTGTTTTTTTTTTTTTAAAAAAAAAATTATTTTTTCAACCTATTACGTGCTGACACGTGTTACTTAAATCAAAAGGAAAAAAACCCACTTTAACAAGTTACCCGTCCTAAAGACCCATAAAAGTGAATGAACCCTAAAGTTCGGATTATTTAAAAATAATCCAAAGTTGGGATTATTTTGAGCGAACAAAAAAAAAAGGGGGATTTAATTCTTGTTTGTTGTGAGCTTAATTGCAAAGGATGATGATTCTTTGAATTGAGCATTGCTTAATGACATTAACCTTGTGATTCAAACTCATATTAAAAGATTAGATGTAATGCATCTTGTTTTGATTAATAGGCTAGGGGAAGGAAACGTTAGGTCCAATTATTTAAATTTCCTTATAATGCATCTATTGTAAGACATAGTAAATGTGTTTCAATAGAACAAGTACCGTGTTTTTTTTTTTTTTTTTTTTTAAGCACACACTTGTAATTCGCAAATTGCTACACTTAATGATCACATGCGTTATGCGTATATAAGCAAACCTGCTCGTGAGCTACTTAACTCTCAAAGTTAGACTAAATTTGACTCATATATATTTTAACGTGTTGAATTGAGATAGTTCCAATCCAATTAAATAAACGCGTAAACAACTTGATAAATTACTACTACTAGAAGTATAGAACTATATATATATCAAAGAACGTAAATGAATATGAATAACAATTTCAAGCCTTACCCATCTAATATTATTACCTCCACCTTTGATTGTTCAAGAATGACCTCAAAGGGGACCATTCAAAGAATTTTTTTAGTAGTGTTTGTTGGGTCTTTTTGGGGCTATTATTACATAATTGTGTATTTTAGATAATAGAGAATATAAATATTGGGGGAAAAAAGTTACACTTTCATTAAAAACTCAAAACAAGGATTAATTTGAAATACTATATTGATTAAACTTGGAATCATTCATATAAATTTCCCAAAAAAAGAACTAATTTACATAAAATAAACCAAATTTTCACAATTTAATCTTCTAAATTTAAGTCAAAATGTGAAAAATAAATCCTAATCAAGTAAAAGTAACATGAAATTAGCCAAGAGCAACCCCAACTACTCTCTAATTGAAAAACTAAATATAGAAAATCAGACGTTTCAAGTTGTTTTCACGCATTAATTAACCTATAATAATACAACTCTCTTAGTAAGGAAATTAGATGTTGCTTTACTCAAAGATACCCTTTTGCCACACAAGAGTCAAAATTATGCCTCCCTATATACTTACATTTGCATTCACTAATTAAACTTCACATAAAACAGGCTTAAAAATTAAGCTCCTCTTTATCAATGAAGTTTTCAGCTGACTAGCCATTCTTCATCATCTCATATTACATTTTTCGACGTAAGTAACATTAAGCTAATTTCGAGTTATTCTATGTATATGGATAATAATTTTTCTCATAATTGTATGATCATCCACATTTTCTTGTGTTGCTTAACAGCTTCAAGGTTTGTGTGTAACGCGATGAAGTGCTTACAAAACCACAACCTTGGTACAATGCATCTATATTTTTTGAACTTTTAAGTGTACTTGATCATGTTTTTTTTATGTATGTGAACATTTTAACATATGTTTTCCTAGGCGAATCGATTGATGGATTTCAATCTTCAAACTCAGAGTTCTCTATGATGATGGGCAGTAACATGTATGTTTCTACATTTACATATTGAATCACATTTGACATTATCAAAAAATAAAAAAAAAAAATACAGAGTATTGATTATTAACAAATAATTCTATATACTCATGCAGCAATAATAATGGTTATATTGGAGCTGGAATTGAGAATGATTACATGCAGCAAATTAATTATGGAAGCATGGATGTTCCCTCTCAATTCTCGTACATTTCACCAGGTTCAGTAATTTCTTTTCTAATTTCTAATTATACATAGATTCTGTAATTAGTGTATGCTTAATTATTATTTGTCAAATGTAGTTTATTCTTTACGTACAAAACATAAATTTCTACTTATATTCAAGGTGAGGTAAGTCATCTTTATTTTTAAATGTCATCAATCTTACCTAAGTTTTGACACTGATTAAGTGTTTTGGGGAGCACATTTTACCACTCAATTCACCAATGTGCACGGGTTTTACTGAAAGAATTAGCCATCTCCACAACAAGGCATAAAATATGCGGTCTTAATTTTAAAAATTACATTCTTTTTGGTCCTGGTGGTGTATATGTATACAAATTATGACACCACGAGTCCACGAGCCACTTATTATGTCACAAATAAAAGGGATGGAGGGCTTTTTCTAGTAAAATTACAATTTTATCCTCAAGTTCCCGGAGTTTGGTCTATTTCGAGGAGGTATATCAACTATTACTCATTGTACTTGCTTCGTGTACTCGAATTTTCAGTTGCATATTCATCGTTGATGCCTACGCCAATAGAAAATCTCAGCCTTGCAACTCCTCATTTGTTGGATTATCGTTGGAACTTACCTTGTGATGACTCTATTAAGAATGACATTCTTTTGAATCAACCTTACAAACCAGTATGCATTTCTATCTCTTTTTTTACCCTTTTTATGATGTTAAATAACTTTATGCTTAAGAATTTCAACAATAACTTGACACTTTGTTAATATCTCTATTTTAGACGATAAAAGATGTTAGAAAAAGTGTTACCGGGGCTAAACTTGCACAAAGAAATAGTGTTCTCGGTAACAAGGCAAGCCTTGAAGCATCGAGGGCTAATAAGAAAAGGAAGGTGATTGAACAATTTGTCGATACAAGAAAATACAAGGTGATTATAGACGTAAATTCCTTCCTTTTCCTAGTGTATATACTGGTAATCTGGTATAAAATTGTATTTGTATACGACAAACTACTAACAAAATCTAGTACTCGAGTTTGAGTTGATGGATCTCAGGATATTATGAAAATATGAACAATGTAACATATCACTTATATGTGTATTTTGCAAATTCGCAATTAATGAAATAACATAACTTGGTTTATCAATGTATACTAAAGATGCAGGCACCAGTTAAGAGAAGCCAAAAGTTAAGCGAGAAAATTTCTGCTCTTCAAGAACTTGTATCTCCTTATGGAAAGGTCAGTCAAAAAAAAAAAGTTTACTCCGTACTTCATAAGGCCTACAATACATAAAACCATTCATTAATATTTACGTCGTATTATTTACTAAATTTAAAGTGATACGATGTATTACAATAAAATTGCATTGATACTAATTATACCTTAAAAAATGCAGACGGATACTGCTTCAGTTCTTCAAGAGGCTTGTATCTATATCAAAATAATTCATCAAGAAATTCGGGTATTCTTTAATTATTCATGAAACAAATAAAAAGAAACTAATAGTTTAAATTTAAGAATTTAACAAGTGATGTATAAATAGTTTATGAACTTGTTATTTCAGAGGCTAAGCATCTCATATTTTGAGCTTAGGTCAGCACTTCAAGCACAGTTTCAGGTACACCCTGCACTAAAATAAATTTTCTGAATTAGATTGTTCTTTGATGAATTAAGCACCCTTATAATTAACAGTCACGTTGATAATGTGTTTCCGCTAGTAATGTGATAAGTGACAACTAAACCCGAGCATAGGTGGTGCTAACACTAAAGAATCTGATCCTGTTTTTTTTCGCGAGACAGGGTGATGCAGAGAGGCAAAGTGACCTGCAAAGTAAAGGACTATGCTTGGTTCCAGTATCAACTATGAAGAGTATTACAAGAGAAAGTTGGGTAGTTGATCATCAGACTGCATCAAGGACCTTCAAAAGATCTACATATGAATTTAATTAATTCATCATCATAGATAGTACATTTATACACATACAATTATATCACATAGTTTGTATACATTATTTTTCATTTTTCCTCGTTTTTTTTTTTTTTTTTTATTTTTGGTTTTTATACAATACTCTCTGTTAAGTGTTGATTAATTAAAATGATTCAAATATACTATAAGTATTTTAATATTATAATTAAAGGATTGCCCAATTGAGCTAATACCTGCAAAAGCTATAACTCTGTTTAGGGTATACAAGGTCTCATACTTCATATATCCTTTGTGTTAATTCAAAATATTTCCTCTGTTTTTTTTTTCACCATTTATTGCGGATTCTTAGACAATTTTTAAAGATAAGAGAGGAAAAAAATTCATAAAAGGACCCATGTGATAGGAAAAAAATAGAAAGAATTTACTAAAAAGATATGGAGGAAGTTTGTGTAATAATTACATAACCCATGTGAATTAACTCAAATAAGCATCGACAGATAAACCAATTTTAGGGTGTGAGTAAATCTTTCTATTTGGGGCATGGATGGATCATACATATTATCAATTGATCGAGTGACAAATCATAATAGGTTATTGGCATTAAGTGAAACATAGCCAAATATATCTATCATTTTGAAGCATAAATATCAAAGATTGTAATTCGCTAACATTAGTACTTAGTAGCAGAAAGCCCTCCCGCAGCTCACTGGTTACTGATCTTTTTTTCGGTAGATGCCGAGACACGTCATTACATACCTTACTCTATCCCAGGATCTACTCCGTATCAAAATGATATAAATACAACATTTTATTTCACTAGAAATACGAACATTAAGGTAATTTAGAAGTCGTCATAAATAGGGCCAATTGGAGGTTGACCATGAGAGATTGACCAAGCAGGATCAGAGTGCCCTAACTCAACCAGCAAAACTCACAGAAGGTAGTCGGGGAACAAGTAATCATTTACAACCACACAACAAACTACTAAAATTTGAGGGAACACTATGAAGAAAGCAACAAAAATCACAAATAAAGAGCGGTGAATAAGAAACAAAACAATAGACAAAGAAGAACAAGGGCACCATAAATCAGCAATAGCCAAAAGATTTCAAGATTAGTGATACAGAAAAGTGGTCCTCCATTTCAAATCAGAGGATATGTTCACAGTTCACCCCAGAAAGGAATACACAAAACAGATAGCCAAAGCATACATATCAAAGCTAGGCTCACTAGTGAAATCCCACAAATAACACAATCATCAATGTATTTTCCGAAATTACTGAAGCACAAGAAAAAAGACATCAGTATTACACTGCAACAACCATCAAATATTATATGTAAGCAAGTTCTATTGCCCCTTAAAAGGTATTAACATTTAAACATAGGTAAAGTGGACTGTATGGATAACACTCAATGAAAGCAGCTGAAACATGGAGTGCATTATGCAGCACGGCTTTTAATAACATCCAAATCCATCTCAGAAGGATCGGTTGCTTGCAGTTCAACTTGAATACCATCTAACTCTCTCTTGAACCTGTCCTTTGAGCTTGCATAAATCATCTTGCTTCTCACCTTAGCATTGTCAGGGGACCTTTCCAAGCAAAGGAGTAATAAGGAGGGTTAATACAGTCAATCACAGAAAAACAACTTTTCTGGGTGTTTTATTATGGCTGATAAGAAATTACCATGCAATGAAAAAGATCCTGCTCTTTTGGCAATTCTCTGCAGTCACAAAATCAAAATCATAGACTGCATATCTGCACTCATCAGCAGGAATGCTTGCAGTGAAATCTTCGTAGCTTTGATTAGGCTCACCAACCTTTTCCACAATCACCTGCTTTTGCTTTTCTTCAATCTTAAAAATTATGAAGCGGTAAGTCCTTTTCGACTTCAACTCTAAAAATTTGAGCTTGCACTGGTCATCAACTGCCATTCCTGATGCAGCATTGGCCTATACATAGTGTCAATACAATTATACATCACGAGATTCATGACCATATGACAAGATAAACCAATATGTCAACAAAAAAAAGTCAGAATTATGAGGTCAGTTTAGGCAGTAATAGCACCAAATCTCGATGACAATAAGGAAGATCAAACGTTTCATAGAAAAGTCATTCCACAAGCCTCATTTTCCTTCCAGCTTGACTTGTGACATACTGACATCTATTTACAGCAGTTTTATAACCCCAAAAGTTACAATTGACATAAAATGGAGTTGCTCAAAGAAAGAAAGCAAAGGAGTATCCAAGATGAAAACACTGAGAAATTGAAAGCATTGCTGCTGGTTGGGGATCAATATAATAATTAAGTGAACTATGCTCCAACCATATGAAAGAAAATCGATGCAAAACTAATTTGAATGCTTTCAAAGAACTTTGATAATTTTTTTTTAAATAAGGCAATCAAAGGAGCAATTAATATCAATATCCCATATTCGTATCATAGACAAGCATAAGCATAATACAAACTCCTCCATCACCAAGCATATTGTGTAATAGTTTAGGTTATTACTTGACTGTAGCTATACCTTTCTAGTAAACTAAAACTCTCTGCCCATACTTTCACTCAATTTGTCACCAATACAATCCTGGAAATCTTCAAATTAAATTCAGGATTATTATAAACTTACTCTGCTCACATTGAGAACCCGAAATATCTAAATACATAAGAAATTCTGCAAGTGAGCTCCTCACTGTTAACAACCAATGTCAGCACTCAATACATGGCAAACTGATTTCTCAGAATATTTTGATAACAAGAACAAATGAGATGGGGAGACAGCACAAAGTAAAAGCTCATTCTTTACCCACCAGATATGGAGTCTCGCCTATAAACCCAAAGTGTTACACATGCAAGGAATCAAAAGAAATCCAAAAACCATAAGAGGTGGCATCAGTAGTTCAGTACCCCAACTCACTATGACACTCAGCCCATTAAAGCAAAGTGATAAGGTAACAGCCCCATCAACCATTGTAACAGAAATCCAGACAGCACAAAACTCGGGAGGTCATCAGCAACCAAACTCTTCACCAACGGAAACAACTTCAGTCATTCCAGCCCATCAAAGCATAATCAAACCAACAATTGCACAATCCTTAAACAAAGACATTTACAACACAAGGGAAAATTGAATAGTCTTTCCTTGGTTACACTCGACCATCAGCAACATTCTAATCATAGGTTCCTCGCTTCCTCCAGATGACGAAAACTCCACAAAATAAGCATCTGCTAATTCTATGTACCAAATTTTCTCATCATTCATGTGAGTTATTTTCAAGACATCCAAACATTCATCCTACCACAAGCTATGTTACATGGACTCTTCATTTCACCTCAAGTACCAATGTCAGACCCTCCACTTGGACATGGGAATGACACTTGGACACTTCACTTTTTGTTTCAATACCATGGATTTTTTTTCACAAAATAACCGAGTCGGACATAGGTACCCGAGTCCATGTAACATAGACCACAAGTCCAAAATCATCACATCAGGCTAAAAATCATTAATCTACACGCTTATTATCGCGAAACTCATTAAGTTTGTTAAATTCACCACATCAAATTTTTATAATTTTTTATACTAGTAAATTCATTCAGTCAGGCATATTTAAGACAATCCTCCGAATTTCAGCAGCTCAAGCTACCCATTTCCAATCAACACGATTTACTCAACTAAATCACAGATCCTAGGTTATGCTGTAATCAATCCAAAACCATCTTACACCAAATAAATTCATAAATAATTGCAGTAACCATAACACAAAAATAAACACAATTCCCTTGATTCCCCAGTTCATAAGAAGCTATCAATTTCCAAATTCAAAAAACAAAAAAACTTTCAGATCAGAAAATTATCATAATTACTCATGAAAAATCTGCGTAATAAAAACGCTAACATCAACAAAATAAAATCCAATAATTCAAAACAAATATGTCACCATATTCCAGATCGAACAACGAAAGATGAAAAATAAAGAAGCATAATTCCAAAAATAATCAAAATCAAAATAACAAACCCTAGATTTCAAAAACAATCATAAATCAGAAAAAAAAAAAAAAAAAAAAGAAAAAAAAAGAAATTTATACCATAATTGTAGTCTTGTGAGTGAAGTAGTAACAACAGCTGAGAGTGGAAGAAAAGAGGAGAGAGAAATGGAGAGAGAATCTAGGGCTTTGATGAGAGAGAAAGACGCAGATAGATAGAGAGAGAACAAGAGCTGTATAAAATGGAGACTGTTTTTTTTTTTTTTGGCAAGAGATTTTTTTTTTTTTTTTGAAATTAATTAAATTTTTAATTTTGTATTGCGATTAAATTTTTAATTTTTACATCGTGGGGTATATATTTGTTGGAACCAAGAGTTGCACGTTTGGTGCGCTAAGGTTAGGGTAACGGACTGTTGTATAGAGGGGATAGATTTGACGGAGGAGTTATCCAATAGAGGGATGCCACGATAAGTTGAGTGCCTTGTGTCTGTCATGGTTGTGAATTTGTGATGGCTTTTCAACTCTTTTCCGAAGGATCTCTTTACACCATGGTTTTATTGGAGGAAGTCCAAGTTTATCAAATTGATAAACTTTAAACGTTTATCAAATGACAGAGTAGAAAATGTTTGTTCTCTTCTGCTTATTTTTAGTTCAGTTCAGTTTCAATAAGTTCAGTTCAGTTTATTTCAATTCAATTCATTTCTTATCTTAATTTCCTTCTCTCATAAAATATTTAGTTCAGTTCAATCAATCAAAACAAGCCCTAAATAAGTTGTCTCGATTTTCGTGAAATTTGTATTTATATTATTTCTTCTCTCACTAACTAGCTCCACAAAACGAAGCACCATTACTATCTTCTCACTCCAAGCAGAAGAGAGAGAAAAAAAGACCCAGCTTCCCCTTCAACAATGGAGGAAGGTCGGAAGACGGTGTTGAATTTTATCTGTGAGAATGGACAACCAATTTTATCACCATACCTTCCTCCATTAAAGTTACTTAGGAGCTACCATTTCTACCACCATGTTTACGGCGGCTTCGCCGCGAATTAAAAGAAAACCCTAAGATAAAAGGGAGAAATAAAAGGAATGGTGAATCCTATAGGGTAGAATTTTCCGTCCTCTTTCATCTTTCATTGAAGCTGCTCATGAGGGTTTGAAATTTTTTTAGTTTGGAAAAGAAGATGAAGATGCAGAACAGGGAGGGTTTGAAGTTTTTATTTTTGGGGAAGGAGATGAAGATGCAGATGCTAGTGAAAAAGATGAGTTATGCTCGGTGTAGACACCCATTTGTGTCTCCCCAAAACCAAACCCGGTGATGATGCCTTTCACGTCGAATCATAATCGAATGAAACGAGAGTGTGGAAAGGTCTAGTGTTGCGGAAAGTTTTATTTCTTTTCTCTTTTCTCCCTGTTTTGGAAAACTTTATTTTAAGAAAACAGCTTATCCAGTTTGGTTGGTCCATGATATGGGTCCAATAGTGGTGTAGTTGGATAGGGCTTGCAAAGACCTTTCCAACGATATATTATAAGCCCAATTCCGATGAATATTGAGGAAGTTATGGCCAATTTACAAAATTGGGCCCGGTTTGAGCTTTATGTACGGCCCAATGATCTAGGGGAGGGCCTAATATGATTTATCATTCCTAATGCAATTAGGAATGGTTTTGGTCTTCTAGAATCTTCTAGAAGGTTCTTTTCATTCCTAATTCAATTAGGACTTTTCAGAGTTTTAATCAAGATCAAATAGCATTTTCGAAGGAATTATATTATTTTATCTTCCAGTACGGTAAACTTATCAGATTTTCGAAAACGCGTTGGAATTAAGACTGGTGTCCAACCCCAGGCCTTGGCGCCTGGAACCAGGCTTGGCGCCAGACGCTAGCCATTGGCGCCTGGCGCTAGCCACTGGTGCCTGGCGCCAGTTAGCCAGGGTTGGCGCCAATGCTGTTTTGCGATCGTCAGACTCTGTTTTGTTAAATTATC